GCATTTTTCTAACTTTATTAAAAGTATGTCATCTTTTATGTCAAATTAAAAAAAATTATATTTATAAGCTTTTTAAAATTTCTAATTAAAACAGAATAAAATCAAGCAGAATAAGAATAAGTTACCAATCAAATAAAATCAGTATTTAAAAAAAGTATTTGTACGACAGAGGTGGCACAGAAGAACACAAAAGTGGCTTGTAGGTGTATTTTCAGATGTTTAATGAAGCTCAGAGGTGGCATGAGTGGAATTAAATTCATGTTGAGGTAAATATTTTAAATATAAAATGTTTAATACAGAAATATTCAACGAATTAAATAACAGAAAAAATCCTTTAAAAATGAAAGTAAATATGCCAGCAGGTGGCGGCAAATCATTGAGTTTATCACTGAATCATTCACTCAACTGATTCGTTCGAACATCTAATTCATTCAGGAATGAAGCAATTGACAGGCTTTATGAATGGGTAATTGATTCAGATTTGTTTAAAAACGCACGTTCATTCATAAACGAAACACCGCTGTGTTTGCTTGGAAATGTGCAGCGGCTCAGCTGTGGCTTTGTTTGAAACTATTTTCATTGATGAAATAGAGCAAAATCAGGCAATAGTGTTGTAGTCAGACAAAGCAAGTCACTTAATATTAATTTCTTGTTTAATGAACTGTTGTATTAGATCAATATCACATTTGCAAACTCCCTTAATAATCATTAAAAGCTGCCACTCACTGATCGCAATCTCACAAAGTTCCATTATAATCGACGAAGCTCCATACACTGCACAATGAATCTCTTATTTACACCCTGTCAACACTTTGTTTGCAATAATGAGAGGATTCGTGAGATTGCAGAACTCAGCACTGAACAAAACTGAGGTGTTTGAGTAGTGAGTGGATTCTGATTAACATTGTGTTCGAGGAACGAACAGATTTGTCTGATACATTACTCAACGCAGCAAAAACACGTTGTAAATAAGTTAGAAACCTTCTAAGCTCCCGAGTGCAAACACAAATATGCTGATCGGGTCAGTCGCACTGGTGCTTCTAAATATTTTTTTTTTCAAAGTTGCACACAGCAATTTTCATTCACAAGTTTTTTTCTCGCGCTACCCTATCTCAACCCCCAATCATTAGCGCATTTCGTTTTGTCTTTGACAGCGCATATAGGACAATTTTTGAAATAGCACCATTCTACTAAACAAAATTTATTTCAAATTTAATTCAAGCACTTTCAAGGACTTATATTTGTTTTCAAGTACTTTCCAGGCCTTGAATCCATGCGTCTGATATTCAAGTACTTTCAAGAAGCGTGGGAACCCTGCATACACATCGCACACCCCTATACTGTTTAGATTTTTATAATGCATTGTCTTATTATCGATCTGCCAGTTCACATTTAAAGCACTGCGTGTTTGTAGGGTAAAAACATGGGTCGATTTTTGCATTTGTCTGAACAAAACAACAGTTTTATTGAAAATGCTCGTTCATTCTCTGCCAGCAGGTGACGCTTTTGGCAGACCTATAACTATTTCCCCGGTAACTGCTATACACAAAGCAGTGCAGCACCGGACTTTGAACCTGCATGAAATCATAGCCTTTTGAAGTTTAATCGTCACATTCAGCATATCGCAATTCTGGTCTTACCGTCCCCTACCCCATGTCCTCCGGAAGAGACTCGTTCACCATGCGGAGACACTGAACGAGCTGCAGGACGTCACGGCTCATTTCTGAATCTAATAAAAGACCACCATTAATGACTGCTGATACAGCTGGATTACTTCATGTCAACAGTGGCTGGTTGTCTTACTAAGTGGGCAGATCATGGCATTAAAACATTGCAGAGCGGATCAGACTTTATAAAACCTTTATAAAACAAGCAGTCTCTCAAGACATTGCCCTCTTACCCTCAGCAATTGGAGTCTCCTCTTCAGAAATCAGGTAATCATCCGAGGACAGGTAAAGATGGTCAATAGCAAAGCAGGGTAGTAGGAAAGACACAAAGCCCTAGGAAAGTAGAGTAAAAAGATTAGTCATCGGCCTGTATGTTTTTGGTCTGTTTGACTGCTAGGGTTGAAAATGGGACTTTTATTTTGATGGTACCGATAACCACATCACAGCACATCACAGCAGCTCATGACATTTAATTCACTCCCAAGTTTTCAGCTCTCATTCTTTTTTCACTGGGCCTGTAGTCTCCTGGGCATGCTGTCATCCAGGTTCATGCAAACCTGAACTTCATTTTTTTTCCTCCAGACTCAGTCTGAATAATTTTTGGTCCCAAATTTGTATCAGTTTTACTGGTAGTCCACTATGTGAAGAATTTTTGAGTATAATTTGTCACAGTTTATTTTATTTTGTATCCTCACTCCACACTTAATTATGCCCATTAAAATGTATTTTACAAGTTTTTGTTACTTTCACTGTTCTTTTTTTTTTTGCTCTATGGTACATCATCTTTCATTTAATAGCATTAGAGCTGCTCCATTGCAGCGGCTTAGTACTGTAATCACGCGCTTTGCTGTAATAATGCAGGGAACCACTCGTTATAAATCTCCTAACTGTGATATTTTCAGAAATAGAAGTCGCGTTTTTTTTTTTCCATCTGAAACATGCTGCGATTTATATTCCAAAGCCACTCATATAATGCAGAAACACTCAAACAAGTGCAACGCGTGCACATATTTGTACTAGTGCAGAATGAGAGGGACAAGTAGTGCAGCCTAGCGCATTTCACACAGGCTGCTAGATTCACTTTCACCAGAAAGTCGTGTATGCCTAAGGTTAAAAATAAATGTTTATAGTGAATGCCCCTATAAATGGTCTTATTTTTACGGTTTCGTTTTAATCCAAATGATGCGTGTGCTAAGTGAGTGAACATTAAAGATCACACAACAGAAGTGCACGAGCTCTCTCTCTCTCTCTCTCCCTACCATTAAGTAACTTGTGCATTGTTTTACTTACTTGTTTTTGACATATCTGACCGAACTACAAACTTTCCAGTGATGTCTGTGAGAAAGGGATATTAACTCGACAAGCTTGCGCATGTGCGCCGCCGCTCGCTCAACCCACTCTGCGTGCTTTGCTTATCAGCTCGCACACGTCAGCTATACAGGCGTTAATACTGAATTTTAACATTATATTCATTGCATACATGTACTTCGTAGACATCCTTAATCTCTAATAACCATTCTGCTGTCTGTTGTTGGTGTTTCTTTGTATGAATACGGCACTTAACACATGCTGTGTGGTATCGGTGTTTGGTATCGGGGCATTTTAACGAGTACGAGTACAAGAGCTCAGTATCGGTATCAGTGCATCCCTAGTCATATATCACATACAGAGAAAAACATAATAAAGCTAGGCTATAGGCCCATATATATAACGATAAATAGGCCTATATGAGAAATATATTTTTTACTTAAAGGGGTCATATGATGTTGCTAAATTAACATTATTTGTTGTATTTGGTGTAATGAAATGTGTTTATGCGGTTTAAGGTTCAAAAACACATTATTTTCCACATACTGTACATTATTGTTTCTCCTCTATGCCCCACCTTTCTTAGCTAAGGTTCAATGTGTTTGAAGCTTAATGGGCTTTTTAGGAAGTATAGAGGTCAATGGTCAGTTCCTAACACCAAAAAAGTCATATTACAGTTTCTCTCGATTGCTTAAACACTATCACCAAGCTTTTGAACTAAAATTTAAAAACCATAACGCCATTTATCAAAAAGCACACCCATTTTCCTAAACTATAAACACTATTCCCCTTTTTGACACATGAATCAGATTTGTTGAGGTGTCACTGCAAAACTCTCCACACAAATCCCTTCATTTCTCATTGCCTAGACCATGTTGTCATTTAGAAAACACTAGCATTCAATATTGTTCACTCAAGTCAGCATTGCTTGAGCTCAGTTAGCACACAGTTACCCACGTGGAAACACTAAGAGTCAAAATGTATCACACACCAATCAGAACCTTCAATAGATAGATAAAAGAGCCCAAGTCAGTTAATTCAGTTTTGGAACAATGGATCCAGAGAGATGTGATTGAAAAGTCAAGGACACCAAAGAGGAGGAGGAGGAGGAAGAGGATGAGCAAGAGCAGTAAGGAGTGGAGGAAGAGGTGAAGGAAGAGGAGGAGGATGAGTGGCAAGGAGACAAGGAGTCTCAGATGAAATTCGTGCCACTAGTTGACCATGTCCTTGTCCATGGTATGACTATGAGGGAGGCTGGGCAATGAGTTCAGCCAAACTTAAGTTGCTTCACCGTCGCCTCGATCATAAGAACCTTCAGGGAGGAAGACAGGTAGGTGTACCTCAGTGTACTCTACTGTAACTTTTGAGTGCTGTACTCTGTTACAGCACATGCACCAAATTGCTTTACATACAGATAGTTTCTGTCTGCTTCAATTTTGTAAAAAGGATGTTACAGTTACAGTAATCAGTTCTTCTATTTTTGTAGGACACAGAGACGATGGAATGGAAGAAGCCTGACTAGACATTTCAGCTGAAGCGTGCCAGGGGTGGATCAGGGATGCAAGAGGATTTCCCCCCCACTGCCTAGCTAGGGTCAGTATAGTCTGTGATGTTGACGAGATTCTCTGGCCTATCCCAGACCAAAGATGTGATGCTGGGGCAGAAAATTTGTTGTTGTTGTTTGGTGTATTGTACTGTACAGTAAGGAATAAAAAAATTTGCAAATGTATACACGTGTTCATTATGTGAAAAGTTCCTTGAGGGGGAGAACCACAAGCAACATAACTAATTACAGTTTTTTTGCAGTATTGCAGTATTTTGAATTGATCTCACCAGTGTGTAAGACTATGTTGTAGTGTGTGTGTTTTTGAGGGCTTGTGTGTGATGTCTGAGGCCAACGTTTGGTTTTTCAGCAAGAGTGAATGGTTTTGAGTGTAGAGCTTCATTTTGACCTGAAAATAGGATGTTTGGGGAATTGGGTGAGACCTTATGGATTTGTGTTTACTGTTTTGAGAATATGAGGCATAGTTTCAAGAAATGTGTTTAAGCAATCGAGAAAAACTGTAATGTATTATAATTACAGACAGAAGTATTTGATGTTTTGCAGCACTAAAGTTTTGTGGCAGTGCTCATGAAATTATCCATCTTCAAATAGAGAATACTGCTTCAAATAAATAAATGGCTCATTAAATCACATGGGTCAAATTATGGATGAGAAAAGTTTCAGGCTGGGGAGACAATCAAACAAGCAGAGTTATGTATGAATAAATCATTATTAACACAAATAAGAACTTAAATGTGTAAAACAGGAGCTCATTTTGATTTCATTTGACTTTTACATATACAGAAACACTTTTTGGACTTCATCTAAATGAAGTCTTCCAGCTGTGTCCAGATCTGGTACCTTCTTGAGGACGCAGACCATGGCTGTGGCAGGGCTGATGTGCAGGGCGAGTGGTGTGGACAGCACATCCTGGTACTGCAGGCAGCAGGCGTAAAACTTGGACCAGAACTCCACCTGCAGCAGACGGTAGTCCTCCTGACAGAACTCGTACTCGGTCACGCTGCCCTGAAGCTGAAAACAACGTTTAGTGGTAACTAAGGCTGCCACTAATGACTTTTTATTTCGATTAATCTATCGACTAATTTATTGATTAATCGATTAATCTAAACTATTAATTTCCCACCCCAAAAAAAACCAATTTTACTTAAGAATATTTTATTAAACTATACTTTAATTAAACCAAATAAAATCCAAAAGTAAAATGCAACATCTGACAGAACTCGTACTCGGTCACGCTGCCCTGAAGCTGAAAACAACGTTTAGTGGTAACTAAGGCTGCCACTAATGACTTTTTATTTCGATTAATCTATCGACTAATTTATTGATTAATCAATTAATCTAAACTATTAATTTCCCACCCCAAAAAAAACCAATTTTACTTAAGAATATTTTATTAAACTATACTTTAAACCAAATAAAATCCAAAAGTAAAATGCAACAGAGTGCAAGAAGCAAGTGTCCATCTCATAATCCAAATTACAGTTCAGTATTATAGTGTAAGAATGACAACATATCCATGTGTTTTACAGATAAAACTGAAACTCAATTAATTAGACAGGCTTTTTGATTAATAAAATTTAATTTAACCATTAAAACAGAGTATAGAAAAATGAAAATGGAAAAAAATGAATTTGGAAATAAAACTGATTTCATAGTGCCCTATAATTATAATAAATTTTTTGTGGTAATAAAAATAGATGTTAGTGAACAATAGCCTTTAAAATTACTTAAAATATATATATAATAGCAATGAGGCAATAATAATTAGTTCAAATAAAGTATCAAAAGCAAGAAATCATATGGTTTTATTGAACAAAATTGTTAAAATACATAATGTATTATGAACATTAGAGCTAATGCAGAGGGCGCCAATGGCCTGACGATTGTTTTTACACATTACTGTGCAATCTAATACTTGTTTAATATTGACCAAGCATCATTTCATTCAGATGTCCACTTAATCTTTAATATTTGGCCATTTCATTAGGACAGAAATGCTATAGTCACTGTAATTAAATGAATATGTGGACATCAAAACGTGTAAACTCAGAGTGAGGGTTTGAGCTTTTATTTTGAAACCACAATGTATTTGCGGTTTCAATCTGGTATTTATCTGTGTTTGCGTAGATTTATAAATGATTTACCTTACAAATCTGATGAAATGGTGCATGTTGCATTCCCAGATGAACGTTATAATAAACTCAAACTCACAACAACATGCAGAGATGGAGTTTGAGACGCTCCACACATGTAAATGATAACAGTTCCTGTGGAACTACTGTAAACTGAACCGCCGTGTGACGCACTTAACCTACACGCATGTAAATAATTAAAGAGCATATACTGTATTAGAACTGCATCACATATAATTATTTAGCTAATTAAATCGTAGCGTTTGTGAATTCAATTATGCTTAACTATTTTTAAATGGGTTTAATATATCATGCAGCCTTGGAAAACATACTAAATGTGTTTTATGGATTCTCGTCTGTGAAATGCGCCACTTCCGGTATTTTGCCGGTTAGTCGACGAGAGCAAAATGAAGTTGAGGATTTTAAAAAAATCGAATTGTCTAATAAAATCGACGAATCGTAACAGCCCTAGTGGAAACACAGATGAAGAAATTAACACAAAGGGGAAAATAGCACCACCTTACCTCGTTTTCCACTGTGACCGTAACCTCTTTCTTCAGCTCCTCCCATGACAAGTCAGAGTATCGCTCTGTATCTCGCTTGTAGATCTGGAAAAAAAGGAATCAACTCTTCTAAATAAATGTGAACTTATGCATTGACCTGTTCCAATTTGAGACCCTTTTAAGGCCTTAATTTTAAGACATCTGTAGCGTCTGGACCAATAAGACACCATTTTTCATTTGATTTAACAAATCGTCACAGTCCCCTCACCCAATAAACTGGATGCCAGGATGTCTGCCACCAGGCCCCCCCTGGTTACCATGGCAACCCTGACACCAGATACATTTACGACCTCCTGGAATTTAGGTGGAGAAAATCACTGCCTTGTCCATAAGGAAAATCCACAAGGGATGGACTTTTCTTTGCTAATTAATGAATTAATAGGAAAACCTTTCTTTGAATGAACACACATGATCCTTCAGGTCATTGTGTATATTATTGTCATCGTGTATTCTGTCTTTGAGATAATACTGTTTTTTGAGATAGTAATTGAGTATACTGTTTAATGCAGGCTTATAATCGAAACACACTCCTGTCAGCTTACATATATATAACCCTACCATGTTTAGTATCTATGAATTAGTATTCGGATGATCTAATTGAGAGTGTATATTGTATGTCTATACCTATGCAACATATTAGTGTTCTAAGAATCTTTATTAGTTTGTGCATCCACACCCCAAGCGAATTACATTTGCAAATTACCATGCCCTCGAACAAAGGGTCGTAAAACCCTCCAGCAATTGCAACCTCCCGCTTGGAATTTCTGTTTTTTTCATTGGACAAGCCCACCTTGAGAGGCGTAACTCTTCCGAGACCTTAAAGGCCCCGCTCCAGGGACCCGCCCAGAGTCGGTGGTTCGGTTAGATTCTAAGATGAAGACATGAGCTAGAACGCTTCTGCAACCCCCCTTAAGTTCATGCCAGGCTTGGGCCTCGACTTTTCCATTCATCAAGATTCTCTGACTCAAAACTGGTTCTTTTTCATCAACCAACCTCAGCAAAGATCAACTGGAACTTTCAGATTACATCAAACCTCTCTTTCAGACAGATGAGACTTGCAAGTATTCAAACTTAGTCTTATTAATTGATACATTAGGTATCATTAACACCTTTTTACAAAGGTGTTTTTGAACTAAGAATCTGATGTTTCTGAACTGCTGAACTCTGATCTGCTGAATATGCAAATGGTTCAATAACTTCATGTTCTTATTTCTTTCCTCTTTAAAGGGTTAAGCTTTAACCCTTTCCTATACAAACTGTGTGTGTGTGTATGTGTATGTTAGACCAGTTTATGTGTTTATGTAGTATGTTAGACCAGTTTAAGTGTTTATGTAGTATGTTGGGCCAGTTTAAGTGTTTATGTAGTTAATAAAACCTTACTTGTATCACACTTGACGTGGTTCATTGTTTGCTCATAACTGGAGTCACTTAATCATGCAGATTTATGCTACAAGCTTTTGTAGACTTGTACAGTAAGGAAGTTAGTTCCCTTAACCAGGAAATTAACGTTCTTAGAATTGACAAGACAGTTGACCCTGAGAGGTCAGCTAAATATCTTCAGCGGATCTAAAATATTCATAATTAATTATAACTAGTTATGATTAATTATTCATATTTCCCATGAGCTGATTCGCTACACATCACAATGTGGAAGCAGTAAAAAACAAGTCGTTTTGGCTGCTGGGTTTCAACAAATGTAGTGTTCATTCCGTCAAAGAACACAATGACGAAAAATGGTCGTTGACAAGCTTTTTTCCCCATGACTAATACGAGACGACAATAAGGTCAATAAACAATAACTGTGACTATATTAACATGCAATATTGACGATAAAAGAAGAGACTAAAATGTATTTTAAAAAATAAAAACTTTACAAAAATCTGTTGTTTTAAAGGGGTCATATGACGTTGCTAAAAAGAACATTATTTTGTGTATTTGGTGTAATGAAATGTGTTTATGCGGTTTAAGGTT